CCGGCTGGCCGGGCAGCGGCGGCTCTCCCGAGGCCAGGCGCATCCCTAGGGCCCCGCCGCTCCCGCCATCCAGGCCAGCAAGCTCAGCCGCGCCAGAGCCTCCACGGAGCCAGACGCTCCGTAAAGCCTGGCATGCCCACAGGCCTCCTAACACCCCAGCACAATAGGGCTGCCGTCAGCACAGGGGCTCCGCGCCAGCTTTTCTCGTTGGCATGTCCGAATCGGTGCCCCTCCGCGCTGCCAGCCTCTGCCACGGACAATAAGAGCTGCTGCCAGCCAGCCCCGGTGCCACAAACATCCGCCCACCCCCCATTAACCCCTGGCTGCTGATCAGACCTGCGTGCCCCATTCTAAGCGCTCCCACGACTCGGTGCAGTGTGGCACGATACAGCAGCAGCCTGTCACAGCTGCCCCAAGCCACACAGACAGACAAAGTCCACGCTGCTGAGCTTCTCCTTCCCTTTGTGCGGTGCTGATAAGATGCGTACGCTTGGACAACTCTTCTGGGAGTTTCAAAAGGAGAACGAGGTTGGAACAATAAGCGGGAGCCAAAAAAGCTGTGCTGAGCATTCCCCCTGGATTCATAATGGGAAAGGGCCAAGGCAGAAGAGTAATTAGCAAGGTCTGTCCTCACTCCTCCAAACTTTGCCAGTCAGAAGGGACTGGCCGACTCCCTCCATTTTGCAGTTCCCACCAAACTTCAGAAGCTGTTAAAAAGACCTCCAGCCTTTCTTTAGAGACTTTCCAATGCCTCATGCTCCACTAGTGAACTAGGCTGCAATGAACCACTTACCAGATTTGATAGCACTATGAGCAGAACACTACAGTGACAATTGTCACTTCTAATCACAGGATTAGTCAACACGCAGTCTGGGGACATCGGCTGCTTCGCAAAAAAACAACCCCAAACCCACTGGCTTTGGAACCAGCAGCTGCTATCTCCCTTATCCCAAAGCAGCCCATTTCCCGGTATGCTGTGTCCCACCGAGGGCACTCTCTGCTCAGGGCTGTCTCCACCCAGCAGCTGCCCCTGCTCATCCTCACTTCTGCTTATCAGTCCACCCACACACAGACCAAAGCGGCTGAGAAAGCTCGGCCTTGCAGAGAGTCACCCCCTCCAGCCCTGGGGCCTTGCCAATGCCATCCAAGCCCCAGCAAGAACACAGCTCACACGGGTCCTGTGGCGCAGTTTGCGAGAGCTGTGGGAGAGGGAGTGTCACGCCAAGAGAACTAATCACAAATCTTTCTCATCCTCACATTTACCCCGAGGGCAGAGATTTTTCTGCCTGCCGTAACAGCATTTAGGATGACTCAAGTGGAGCTATGAAGAAAGATGCCCCCGAAACACACAGTCAGGACACCTGGCTGCCTCATACACTGTTTCTTCCTGAGAGCAGGAAGAAATGTGAGGACAGAACCCAGGGACACCTCCTTCAGCAAGAGGGTCACCTCCCAGAAGGTCCCGTGCTGGGTCTGCCACCTGTTAAGGCACCCAGACAGCTTTCACTTCTTTGATGCCATGACACCACTTTCAACAAGCCTGCTCCTTTCCCGGGGTAGCAGGAGGAACCTGAAGAAGCAGAGAGCCAAGTGATATTTTTCACATCTCTTGGTAAAAGCAGTTTGGCAGCAAGCCACACTGGGAGCCCCTATAGCTCCACACGTCCTATCTGTACTTCCCCCATCGGCCAGCTTCCTCCCAACTGAGGGGAGTCAGAGGAGAACAAAAAAAAAACCACCCCAAAAAACCAACAAACAACCAACCTCCCACCAAAACGTCCCCACAAACAAACAAGAATATTAAGAACAGATTAAACGGATTCAGGAGTTATGCTGCTTTTCATCCAGAAGGTTCTCCCAGCCTGCCCCGAAGTTACAAAGCTTCAAAGAGAGCAAAGTCTATCAGCTATGCAAGCTGCAAGGTAAAGCCTCACAGCAGCCGGGCTGGGGGAGGGGGTTGGGTTATTCGGAGCTGCTAACTTCTCCCGCAGATGCCGGGCTTGCCTCCTCGCTATGCAAGGAAGAAAAGCCGGGGAAAATTCCAAAAAGCTATGCAAACATATTTAAAACGTTAGAAAGTTCTACGACTTCGCAAGCACTTTCTCAGGGCACTCCCATGGAGACAGAAACTCATAAATTAGGCAGATTCCGTGCACAAAGGGCCCCAGATTCCTCTCCGAGCACATCTGGAAAAAGGCTCGCGAGGTGTCTCGGTCACCCAGGCGCACACAAAAGAGAGCTTGTCCCGAGCAGAGCCCGGCAGCACCCCCTCCCTCTCCCCCGCTGCTGGGGCTGTGCGGGAGCGCCCAGTCGCCTCCGTTCCTCTGGGGAGGGAAGAAAACTCCCCGGACACACACACGCACACACCCGAACCCGCTGTTCTGGTGGAGGGTCAAGCACTGCCCGCGCCCCGGGGCCAGCACCGAGAGCGAAGGGCTGTGTCCGAGCCCGTGCGGGAGGGAGCGGCAGGAAACCCGCGGGGGCGAGGGACAATGGCTTTGTCGCCAAGCCGAGCGAAGAGACTCACCTCTGGGGGAGCGGGAAACGGCA